TTCGACCAAGCTCTTCACCTTGGGGAGCCCCAGTGTTATTCGTCAAAAAGAAAGATGGGTCGTTCCGAATGTGCATTGATTACAGAGAATTGAACAAGTTGACAATCAAGAATCGATATCCTCTTCCTCGAATTGATGACTTGTTCGATCAGTTGCAGGGCGCTTCATACTTCTCAAAGATCGACCTCCGATCAGGATACCATTAACTAAGAGTTCACGAAGGAGACATTCACAAAACAGCATTTAGAACCCGTTATGGACATTATGAGTTCTTAGTCATGCCTTTTGGACTAACGAACGCACCCGCTGTTTTCATGGATTTGATGAATAGGGTCTGTAGACCATACCTAGACAAGTTTGTAATTGTATTTATCGATGACATACTTGTTTACTCGCAAACCAAAGAAGATCATGAGAGACATATGAAGCTAGTGTTGGAGCTATTGAAGGAGCAGAAATTGTATGCCAAGTTCACTAAGTGTGAATTCTGGATTCGAGAAGTACATTTCCTTGGCTATGTAGTCGGCGAAAAGGAATCCATGTAGATCCGGTTAGATTGAGGCAATCAAGAAGTGGGAAAACTCCAACTACCCCAAGATTTAAGCGCCATTCACGACACATTCCACGTCTCCAATCGTAAGAAATGTTTAGTCGACGAAGCATTATTAGTACCTCTGGAGGAAATTAAGATCAATGATAAGCTAAACTTTGTTGAGGAACCGATAGAAATCCTTGACAAGGAGGTGAAACAACTTAAGCGGAGTAAGATTCCGATTGTGAAAGTTCGATGGAACTCAAAACGCGGGCCGGAGTACACCTGGGAGCGCGAGGACTTCATGAAGGAAAAGTATCCACAACTTTTCCCATGCAATGACAAACGATGACATAGAATGAATTTCGGGACGAAATTCTTTTTAAGTAGGGGATACTGTGACAACTGTCAATTCAGGTCATTCTCGGACTCATGCATCTTTATAAAAACCATTCATGCACAACATGCCATGGCCTAGTAGTATAAATTAGGTCAAAATCTTGCATAAACTAGGATCCAACTAAGATCTAGGACTAATATACTTGACTCTTACGATTCTAGTAAGTTGCTTGACTACAATAGGAAATGCCAATACCATAATTAGAATGAAACTTCAAACTTTGTTACAATTGAAAAAGGGTATAAAACCCTAAAAATAAATTAAAATATTCTAATTACATTCCAATATGATAAACCCTAAAGAGCCAAAAATCCAAATTTATAAACCTTAAAGCTTAAAAACTTTATAAAATTGGCTATAAACTTCCTAATATCAAATTTTTATTAATCAAAATTATGGATTATAATCAATGAAATAGAAAGTTAAATTATCATACATTAATCATAATTTATTAGTTAAAAACAAGATTTTTAAATAAATCAAGAATTGCTTTAATAAACACTTTTATAAAAATTAGGTTTTATAAAAATTAAGGAGGGAGTTTTATAAGTTTGAATTTAGGAGAGAGGGAGCCTCTCTCACTCATAAAATTCGTGCATCCTCTCCCCATGCCCTCTCTCTTCCCAAAACTTCAATCATTAAAACACAATCCCCACTCTTCCACTTCTCTCTTCACTCTCTCTCACACTCCACCCTTTCAACTCTCAAACTCTCCTCCTCTCTCTCCAAACCCACGAAAATCATCAGCCAAGAACACCTCTCCACACTCAAATCTTCATCTTCTAAGGTTGTTCTTCAAGGTATTCACGAAAATCCTTCATTTTCCTTACTTTTCCTCCTTGTTTTTAAAGGGTTTTCTTGTACTTCTCCTCCTTCTACACCATTCTTTATGAACATTCATGAACATGTTCATGAATGTCGTGTTTGATGATGATGGTGGTAGGGTTTCACCCAAGAACAACATGCATGTTGTTTAATGGTGAAATCCAAGGACCAAAACCTATGTCAAACACTAAGGTTCGGATTTTTACAAGTTTTAAAGGCTCATACGCCTTATGCATTCAAGTATTTCCTTTAAAAACATCACTATAACAAACATATGTCCATGCATGGTCTTCAAAACGTGATGCATGTGAAGAACACCAAGCTAAAGAGCTGTGATCAAAGTACATTGTTAATAGTGCATGTAAATGATTTTGTCTAGAAAGATATCTAAAAGTTCTTTTCTGTTCAAATCAAAATTTTTCCAGATTCCCATTAAGGTAATATGAATATCTGGAAAATCCCAAGAGTTTTTATCGTTTCCTTGATTTATTAAAATTGTTGCAAGAAAACAAGGGCATAAATCACATAAAATACTTCCAGAGGTCTATAAATCCGGAATAAATTCGTGGATGACCCCTATGGTGAATAATGACCTCTCATTAAATTTCATCGATTTATGTTGCTGTTTAGTATGATTTTCGATTTTCTTTTTGTTTGGGTTCAATAAATCACAAAACCACTTTAAAGAGTGTGAAAATTGTATCTAACAATTTTCGCAGCTCGTACCTGTGGTGGGAGACTCAGAAAATAATTCAGAATTTTTCATCATGCCTTTCTATTTTTCCCAATTTTTGGTAGTTATAATGGCCTAAAAATAGGAAAAATAGTTCTGATTATCCAAAATTCATGAAAATTTACCAGAACATTATGTTGTACATTAGGAGGATACATAAAAATTTTGATGATTCTCCTCAACTGTATACTATTTTTCTCCTATTTTCTAAGGTTAAATACACATAAATACACTTAAATACACATAAATACCCAAAACCGGATTATACAATATGAAAACCACTTTTGGTATTTTTCTCAGATTACTTACACTGTAAATGATGTTACAAAAATTTTTGGTAATTTATTTTAACTGTTTGTTATTTATTCTTCAATTAATGATTATTTAAGGGGATAAAACAAGGAAAAATAGAAATAACCACTGAAAAATATCTTTTATGTTTTTCCCAGCCTAGTTATGTATAATAATAGTTAAATAAAAAGTTTGAGTAATTTTGGAAACTGTTTTCTATTTATTCCAATTTTTATTAGAATAAATGCTCAAAAATCATAAAATATAATTAAACAGCTTGGAAATCCATTTTTATATTTTCCCTAGCTTAGTTATGTATAATAACAATTAAATAAAAAGTTTGAGTAATTTTGGAAACTGTTTTCTATTTATTCAATTTTTATTAGAATAAATGCTTAAAATCATAAAATATAATTAAACAGCTTGGAAATCCATTTTTATATTTTTCCTAGCTTAGTAATGTGTAATAACAGTAAAATAAAAAGTTTGAGAATTTTCATCCTTTGAATGCTATTTTTAGTGAATTTATTTGTTATGAAGGCTTAAAAACTTGGAAAAATAGTTAACCATATTAAAAATTCAAGGAAATTTTCTGGAAACCTCTATTGTATTTAGAATGAAAATACAAGGTGTTTGACAATTTTGGAAACTATTTGATAATATTTTGCGTTTTTAGGAATTTTAAAAACACCTTTAAATGTGTTGAAATACCCTCAAATTATATTACTAAATGGAAATTAATATCCAAAATTTTCTTAATCACATGACTTATAGAATTTCACCATTTCAGAAAAATCGTAACCAATTAATATAAAACCAATATTAGAACATAAATTGGCATTTCTCTATATGTAGAGTTTAGTATATAGCATTAGATTTCGACATGGAAACTCACTAGTGTGTGTTTGATGTCGTAGGGATCCCGGTAGTAAGACGTTGGTTTATTCCGAGGCACCACTTGTACCTACTCGAAACATTGTGAGTATTCACGCACTCCCCTATTTTCAGTTTTATGTTTTGGGGTGGAAAAGCATGTCCCGAAAAACTATTATTTGAATGTTGTATTTAAATTGATTTGTATCAAACATGATTGCTATTTTATTGCTATGTCTCTCTATGTATGTCTATGCAACACGGAACATGAGAACTTATCGTACTAAGGCCCTTCCCTTATCTCTAACCATTAACTCTTTGAGCCAATGGTCATTATGGATAGCGCTATTAGGAATTGACAACTCCTCACTCGCCCTATTGCTGGAGTGCATGATACCATATTCATTTATGGAACGATAAGCATAAATCTTGATAGGGCTTCAGTCATAGGTTTGGTTGAGACTCATTGTTTGCTCATACACATACAAACTCGTTTCTCGTTATAACAATAAACTTGTTATTTATTATGGCAATAAACTCGTTTATCAATTTTAGCAATCAACTTTGTTTCTCATTATAGCAATGAACTTTGTTCTCATTAAAGCAATGTACTTGTATTTATGAAAAGTCTTATACCAAATCTTGATTTTATAAACCTGTGAACTCACCAACTATTTTCATAGTTAACGCTCGTTTACATGCTTTTTCAGGAAATAATTAGTAAGTAGATATAGAGATTCATCATCATAGAGCATGCTGCATCGTGTGGAAGTTATTTTATGAAGTTATATTTTGAACAATGCATTTGGAAAAACTTGTACTTTGTTTTGTTTAGCTATGGGTTGTAAACTTTTAAAATTGCTATGGTGATGTATCTTTATCTTTTGCAATGAAACCTTTGTCGCTGTCATACCTTGCGTTTCCGCTTTAGCGGGGTGTGACAGAAATGATGGACTATTTCGGGTCCCATAAACTACTTTTCCCTAGCTTCCAGCCAACATGACGGCGTACGACACTTTTCTCCATAGAAAGCGTGATAAGGTGTCATCTTGATGCTCGAGTGGAAACTATTAATATAGGAAAATTCTACTAGAGGTAAGTTTTCATCCCAATTACCTTGGAATTCCAGGGTACATCCCCAATTTCACGGCCATAAAAGACCGATTTCGTTTATGCTTTTTAAAATAAAACCAGAGTAAACATTTGATTGAAAGTGTTGCGGAATTTGTTCCCAGAAAAACATGATAAGTATGTTATCAAATCATTTCTGAAGAAATGCATTTTATTCATTTAAACCACTGGGATGTCATTGTCAATACAAAAACATAAGCATAAACAAAACTTACATTCATTTACACTAGTGATCTACTTCTCTTTTTAATCTCTCAGTGTAAAACAACATCGTATCGATATCTGTGATACAAATAAACTGAGTGGGTCAGGCTTGGGAGCCTGGTGAGCATATAGGGTTTTCAACCCACAATAAATAAATTTATTATGTTTAAACATCAAACAATCAACCCAAATACCCAACCCCATTATCTTCTTTATTCTTAAGGAGTTACCCTAAGAATCATCTATCACTCATTCCTAAGGAATTTTCCTAAGAATAGGCACGAAGTCCATCGCTGCCCAAGGTTTATACTACAAGCACTAACAAACGTCGATCCCAACATACTGATCCTATACAATGATCTTACTAGATCTAGCCTAAAGGATCGATATGAACAACCAACTGACGAAACTGCTTCGGAAATTCCCTAGCAGCAAACGAGGATCGATAAAGACATCAAATGAGAGGAATGTAATAAGTTTCACCACGAACCTTCGTTCGTAAAAGAAAGAACCACAAGACACTTAAGTCAGGGGTAGTTATCAATGCCTAGCCGTGGTCCGAATATCGTGAGGTATTTTACCCCCAGACTCACCCTATCCAGCATCGAACTTTGTCTAGCAGTGATCTGAATATCGTGAGGTATGTAGCCCCCAGACTCGCCCTATCCAGCATCGAACTTTACCTAGCAGTGATCTGAATATCGTGAGGTATTTTACCCCCAGACTCACCCTATCCGACATCGTGAACGGAAACGCTGACTCATGAAGCTCGTCCGATCACTTCATAAAAGAAACGAAGACTCCAAAGCTCTTCAAAATAAAAAGTATATGGAAAATACTAATAAAGTACTCCCATACGCTCCCGTACCCCGACACGTAATACTGTAAAAAAGAAGAACTATCGGATGAACACATAGTTCAAAAACACCTAATGAACATATAGTTCGAGAACACCTTATGAACATATAGTTCAAACATACCTACTGATTACGAGTCTGCTAACGTTCCATTGGACTATCTAGAGTAGTCTGTGGTCGTTGTCTATACTCTGCTAGATGACTAGATCATCTTAAACATCGATACCTCTCATCAATTTTTATTTCATCACACATCATCTAATTCATCTACCCATGTTTTACCCAACATATTTGTAGATAGAAATCCATATACAGTTTAAAAACCTGTATAAATCATTCATTCATCATCCATCTCAAATAATTAAGCAATATATATTCACATAGCACGTATTTTATATAAAATACTTCATATCTATGTGTAAGATGAAAGTGACTATACACTCACCTGATTTAATGATAATCGGGAAGCACTTTGTTTCCTAAAACGATCGTTTCTAATAAACCGGAGCGGGAGTTTTGAGAAAAACGGGCTCTGCGAGGGTTGGGCTTCAAAACCGAAAAGATAAAATTTTCCGGGTCTTCGGGTACTTCGGGGCGTGTTCTGGGTGTTGGAAATAATCCCAGGGCTTCGGGGGAAGTCAAAATAATAAAAGTATTGAAAAAGGGGTGAAAATGAAATTTTCTCCAAATTACCCGAGAAGGCTCGCAGGCCTCCCTTTTATAGGCCGAGGATACGAGGGTCGGCTGAGAAGGAGGTGGCAGCGAAGGCACGTGGCAGCAGGAGGCGAAGGCACGCGGCGCGCATGCGAAGGGCCACCTGTGCGAGGTTCGGACGCGACACGAGGCGAGGCGCGTCGGACTCCGGTTGGCTGCGACTTCGGTCGAATCCGGAAGCGGCACGCGTCGAACGGCCGGATACGAGGCTGATCGCGAGAGCGGTGACGTGGCCGGCACTATTCATGCGAAAATTCTCGAAAATTATGCCCCAATCTTCTAAAATCCATAACTTCCGCATACGGGCTCCGTTTTTGACGTTCTTTATATGCACGCGTAGGTAAAATTACGCTCTACAACTTTCGTTTAGACTTTGTCGGCTAATTTTGACTTTAATTTTTATATTATTATTTTTTAACAGACCGGGACAGGAAATCCGTTAAAAATTCATAACTTCTTCATCCGACGTCCGTTTTCGTCTGTCTTTTTACCGTTGTACTACTATTGACGAGACCTTCGATTCTCGTTTAGGTTGTGTCGGCTAAAAATCACTCGATCTAAAATTCGAGTTTTTAGCTGTCTACCGCTAAGCTAAAACTTAGAAAAATCATAACTTCCTCATACGAAGTCAGATTTGGGCGTTCTTTTTATGCATACTCTCGGGTTTAATGAACACTACAAATTTCATTTAGATCACTAAGGCTAAAAAGTAGTTTATCAAAAACTCACTTTTTACGTCATTCGGCACCGTGCCGGTTTTGTCGCAAAACTTCGACAGGTCATAACTTCTTCGTTATAACTCGGATTTCGGTATTCTTTATATATCCGGAATCCTTATTACGACCACTACAACTTTCTTAATAGACATCGGCTTTATCTAATATTTATTTTCGACGCTCATTTTTATTCTTAAGTAATTAAATCCTAATAATTAAGCACAAAACACATAATCACATAATTCCTCTTCATTTCTTCAAAATGAGTTACAAAGGTTGACCTAGACTATTTCATCATCATTAATGCCTAGCCTAGAAACACGGGCGTTACAATTCTCTCCCCCTTAGGATGATTCAATCCCCGGAATCTCACATCAACAAACAAATGCGGGTAGCGACTCATTATGTCACTCTTCGTTTCCCATGTGAGATTTGGCCCATTCGCATGTTTCCAACGCACAAGCACTAAATCGACCATCTTGCGTCGCAACTTCTTAGTCTTACGGTCAACGATTGCCTCTGGTTCTTCAAATAACCTCTTGTTTTCATCTAACCTTAAAATTTAGAAATGAGAATTATGTCGGGCACATCTCCCGTGAACTTTCTCAAATAACATACATCAAAGGTATTATGAATACCCTCTAGTTCTTCTGGTAATTCTAGCTTGTAAGCTTGATTCCCAATCCTCTGAAGAACCTTAAACGGTCCAATAGACCTTGGGCTCAATTTTCCCCTTTTACCAAATCTTATAAGTCCCTTCCACGGTGAGACTTTAAGTAAAAACCGAATCTCCAACTTCGAAGGATATTGGTTGTATTTTCTTGTTAGCATAGCTCTTTTGACGATCTTGAGCAGCTAACATCCTTTTCCTAATCACTTTCAACTTTTCAGCAGTCTGATGGACTATTTCAGGTCCCATAAACTGCTTTTTTCCCCAGCTTCCAGCCAACATGACAGTGTTCGACACTTTTCTCCATACAAAGCGTGATAACGTGTCATCTTGATGTTCGAGTGGAAACTATTATTATAGGAAAATTCTACTAGGGGTAAGTGTTCATCCCAGTTACCTTGGAATTCCAGGGTACATGCTCTCAGCATATCCTCCAACGTTTGAATTGTTCGTTCGCTCTGACCATCGGTTTGCGGATGGTAAGCTATACTCAAACACAACTTGGTACCCAATTCCTCTTATAGACTCCTCCAAAACCTTGAGGTAAAACGGTTGTCACGATCTGATACAATCGTTAACGGAACACCGTGAAGCCTCACAATTTCCTTCACGTAAGAATTCGCAAGCTTATCCATAGACCATTTCTCGTTGGCTACTATGAAATGCACACTCTTAGTGAAGCGATCAACGACCACCTAAATCATGTCATGACCGTTCTTTGTTCTGGGCAGTTTAGTCACGAAATCCATGGTGATGTCTTCCCATTTACCCATGGGTACAGGGGTAAAGGTTCTAAACTCCCATACGGTATCTGATGTTGTGCCTTAACCCTAGCACATGTTACACACTCGGCCACATACTTAGCAACATCGAGCTTCATCGTCGACCACCAGTAATAGGGTTTTAGATCCCTATACATTTTTGTACTGCCGGGATGAATCGAGTACATGGTCTTGTGAGCTTCTTCCATCAGAAGGTCTCTTACTCCTCCTGTCTTAGGTACCAAAATCCTATCTTTGAATACCTTCAGTCCTTGACCGTTTGTATCAAACACTAACGTTTTGCCCAAACATTCTTCCTTTCGGTCAGTTTTGCCCAAACGTTCTTCCTTTTGAGCTTTCTTTATACTTTCCACAATTATCGAGACAACTTCAAATTCTCAACGCTCTTGGCCTTTTCTTTTCAAGGTTTACCTTCCGACTGAGAGCATCAGCAACAATATTTTATTTACCAGGGTGGTAAAGTATCTCACAGTCGTAGTCCTTGAGTAACTCTAGCCAGCGTCGTTGCCTTATGTTCAATTCGTTCTGATTAAAAAGATATTGAAGACTCTTATGATCAGTGAAAAAGTTTGCATTTAATGCCATAAAGATAGTGCCTCCATATTTTTAAGGCAAATACTACCGCTGTCAACTCCAGATCATGAGTGAGGTAGTTCTTTTCATGCTCTTTCAATTGCCTCGATGCATACGCTATCACTTTATCCCTTTGGGTCAGAACACAACCTAACCCAACTTCTTTAACAACGAACCGATACTTCTATTGATCGCTTTGATCATCCTTTACTTCAATTTGGCTTAAGTCAAATGCTACCTTGAACTTGGTTATCTGAACCACGTAATAAACTCATCGTAGTGGGACTCGATTCGATATGACCTCTAGGGTCGGAATAACAATCATCATCCTAGTCATTACCGAAACGATGGTAACGACATACTCGAACAAAAACAAAATCAATTACTAGTTTTTGGTAACCTTGTGACTTTCCCCGATCCAAGTGTGAGTCCTGTGCTTCCAGTAGTATAGATCTCTACTACTATTCACACCTACTCATACTCGTCCCAAGTACTATCTCGCAGTCCCCAAGTCCTAAAATCACAAAACAATTTAACACATACGAATGTGTCCAATTAATCATAAAATTTTCCTAGACTCTACTAGGACTTATTCCATGCGTATCTTCAATCATCAATTCTACTTCAACTTGGTTGGTGATGGAAATTCCAGACGATGGGACAACTTCATGAATTACACCAATCATTCCATCATCCTGCCAATCGAAGGTGTACTTCAGACGTACCGTACCCCTCTAAACGTTCCGTTATTTTATCAGACATATTCTAAAGGCAAGATACCACTCTTACGATATCTTCTGATAGATATCATTCACTATCATAAGCTTTTCATTTCCTCTATCTACTCAATTCTCTACGAGTCTTCACCATAACGTTTTGTACACCCAAACAGACGTTCGGTGTACTGGGCGAGAATTTAAGATAGGAAAGCTTTATTTACGATAGACGTATAAATCTTTTTGTCACTCCGAAACGTTTACATGCTAGTTCTAATATCGTAGTCATACGCTTAGAATCCTAAACACATAAAGTTTCCAGATCCGGTCGGCAACAGACCATAGATCCGAATAATAGCATATAAGGCATCTTTATAGCTATAACATAAAATATTTAACAAATAAAACATTTTAGGTATATTTCCTAAAATAAACTTGTGCTCGTGTCTAAAATATAGCAGACACTCATCTCACAATCATCGCTTAGCATTCTAAGTTTAAGTCTAGAAATCCTACAAATTCCAAGTTCGTTTAAACTAATGCTCTGATACCAACTGTGACATCCCCAATTCCACGGCCAAAAAAGACCGATTTCGTTTATGCTTTTTAAATAAAACCAGAGTAATCATTTGATTGAAAGTGTTGCGAAATTTTTTCCCAGAAAAACATAATAAATATGTTATCAAATCATTTCTGAAGAAATGTATTTTATTCATTTAAACCACTGAGATGTCATTGTCAATACAAAAAAAAAAGCTAAAATATAACGAAATTGATTCATTTTTTAAGTAAGAGATCATCATTATATTAATTTAAGATGTGTAAAGTGAAATGTTGGATTTTTCATTTACCAACTAAGTAACTAACCTCACCAAAACGTAGGAGACGTTAGCCATTTCAACCATACTTGGTTGAAAGCTGCAGCATCCATATGGGCCCTACCTGAGCTTGGTGTCTCGTGACAAATTGTCTGAAAATACCATTTGAAAATCATAATTATAAAGTGGGACAAAAAAAATAAAGTAATTCTATTTGTTTGAAAGTTTAGATTTAAGTTTATTTTAATTCTCAATAATAAGGGCATGTAGGTATACAGCTGTTGGAACTTAGAATCACTGCTTCCAGAATCACCTTCCCTGCCCTGCCTGTAGCTTTGTTACAAGAACACAAATATTTACTTTTCATATTAAATAGAAATTGATTTTCAAATTGCAATTTTTCCTAACCGTTTATAGATTTACCCTTTTTTCCTTCTTGAGTTGTATCACGTAAAAAAACTCATTACTATTGTCAACTTTCTTTTTCCTGAAATGTAAGGGTATATTGGCCAGTATCAACGTTTTAGTTTGATTGAACTAAATATTAGTTTTTTTGGCGGTCTATAAACATGGGTTACTATTAATGCAGTATTATGAGGGGCTGCCCAGAAAAAAAAACATGTGAAGTATTGCATTGATGATTGAAAATTGTCAAGTTACCTTACCAATCTACAAACAAACAAAGTAATTTTTTGTATGTTTTATGTCATACTTACTTTTGCTAGCTGATCATGGCCGTGGGGCACGATGGTATTTAGATCCATGGGAAATCTCTCTCAAAATGTTGTTGTTAAAACCTAAACACCTCCTGATATTGTTGGCTGCATGAAGGCTTTCCAGTTGGCAGGAGATTAAAACATTTAACAATTGTAACCTACAAAAAAAGGTTAAAAGTAAATAAAAAAATTCCAATTAATCATATTAGCGTACAAATCCTAAAAAGTACAAAAATATCTTAAAAAAAAAAGCTAATTTATACAACTTTTACTGATTTTTTTGACAGGAACTATTTACATCTTTCTGAAAACTCTCCATGTGCATACAATTATCTTTTACAATTGCCAAAAGGGAAGTGAAATATTTGAGGAGCAAACATTTAACTGTACTAAGAGATTTTCTGATGTTGTATGTAATTACTTCGTGTTTAAGATATTCAATTAGATGTAGCTGCCATTGCTTGCTTCTAGTACCTGTAAAAATGATATTTTTCTTTCATTTGCATCTGTATGAATTAAGAGGGGAACCTCCTCAAAATCAGAAATCAGTACCAATCAATATGCAAATTTAGTTTTAAAATCGGATTCAACAATCATGCACATAATAAGTATGCGAAATAAGAAATCATATGCTTGGAAATCAGTCAGATGGAAAACAAAAAAAAAAATCGGTATTATTACCTGTTGCAAAAATTGAACCGGTGGTCCGATGCATTAACATCTCGGAAATATTATGTCTTAAACTCGTAAACAATTACCTTTTTGCCATGTTTCCAGAAGAAAAAAAAATGACCTTTCTTTATCTTCACATTTGCAAAAATCACCCATCAAATGAAATATCTTAAAGAACACATGTTAGTTACCACAAGAATCAGTCGGTGATATAAATAATCACATGTATCCATCAACAGTCAACATACCCTGGTTCAAGCATTTCATGGAACAGTTGGGATGCATAGTGAAACTCTCCTTTAAATCTCCATATCAATTGGGTTGCACTCCTAATCAACCAAAGAATTCCGTACTCAATCAATATACTGAAATTGAGACCTATATATAAGCAAGTAGAGCATCAATAAAATCAAAGTCAAAATTTTAACCCTCATGGATGAAAGCTCGCCTCTCAGGCTGTCAGAACATAAAGCAGCACAAATTTACTTATCGGGATAACATGAAGGGATACTCACAACCACCAATTGAAAGCATGGAATCAAAAACCCACAACTACCAATAGAAACTATCGATTCAGAATGAAACACGTACCTTGAAGAGAACACAGGAAGAGCACAGTTGATGCTTGAAGAGGAATAGAAGTGCAGGGGGCGTCGTAGTCGACTATTCGATGGTTGAACGCCGGTGATAGGACTAACACCCTTTTCTCCGGTACAGAGTGCTCTGAATCCTCGGAAGTTTTGGGGATCGTTCTTCTCAACCTTTCCTTTTCTTCCTTTTTTTTGTGTATTTCTCTCTGGAAAAAAGAAAGCACCGCAGTAAGCTTCATCGGTGTGGGATGGGGTCGGCAGAGCTGTGTTTGTCGACGACCAATTGCACACGCCTTGGAGGAGCGATGAGTGTTCTTTTACTTTATCAGGCGGACTGAAAAACAGGAAAGGGAGATAGAGGGTATTTGGTCGAAATAGACTCACAGTGAGTCGGTGTAGGATTTGTGATTGGAGTAGAGATGAGCGTTAGTCATGCTGGGTTGAAGAAAACCATCGTAATCGGAACCTATCAAAGGAATCACAAATCTACGGAAGCCATCAAAGGAATGAAGAGAAAACGATGAATAACAGAAAGAGGATGAAATTGGAAGCAAAGTGAGATAAGAAGAAAGGCGAGGTGAAAGGCGGTGGCGAGGATCTACAATATCTTTAAGGCGGTGGAAAAGATAACGATCACCCAATTTTGAAAGCAAAAAAGAAGCGCAACGTCTGTGGCCAAAGTAGTAAATGAAGGAAAAAAAGTGGTAGAAATGAGAATTGGCAAAGTTTCCTTTCCTCAAGATTTTAACAATTAATAGTATATATAATTATAAGGATAAAACTAAAAATTAATGGTAAAAACTCTCCGATCTATAAGTTTTCTTGCTAAATAATATAATGCCGGCATGCCACACCCCAGTCGCCACGTTCGTGGTTGGTAGAGTAGCGAGAGAGTTTTCTAGGGTTTATCTCTCCAGTGAGTCGTCCCTTAACTCCTTCCATATTCACCATTGGATCAATTCTATATAGAAAGTCACTCACAGTTGGAATCAAATTCTCAATTGATCAATTGTTTGATTCCATTTGCCTTTTTAGGGATTTAAAGTCGCAGTAGGGCTTTATTCGCCCCTCTTTGGTAATTCAATCTCCATGATCGTTCGTTTCCCATGGACCCTTCTGTGCATAACGCTCCAACAGTCGACGAAGATGACGAGTGGGGTAGGCCATATACATCTTTTATTTTGCTTATGCAGTTTTTGCCCTCAATATATTATATTATTGTGCGTGTTCTTGTTATAGGGCATGGGATAGTAGATCGTCATTTTCTGCTGCTCATTACGATCCTTGTTTACTGTTTAGTTATATAAATTTTTGATTTTTACAACTATCACTTCAATTCGAGATTGTTATGTGATATCATGAAGTATTCAACTGGCCAAGTCTCAAAACAAGAATTAAGCAGCGATCACTTCTTTCGTAATTGAAATTGGAACAGTTACATTTAAAATAAACATAGTTACTTTTTTCATTTGGTTAACCTGGTCATTACTTGCTTACTGATTGCATTGATCGGGTTCACAAGATTTTTCTGGGCATTAGTACATCATATGAAGAATCAAAATTTTACATCAAACAACATGTGGTAAACATTGCTCTTATAAACCGAGGTTGAGTAATCTGAAATCTGTAATAACTAGCAAACAGATCAATTGAGGGTTTTTGTGCCCCTGGAATGTAGGGTCTTCAAATGATTTTGACAAACTATGAGGGAGTTGGACTTATCTCTGTGTCTCTGAATAATTCAATCTAACTAGTGCTATTGGTAGTAATTAGCATACTAGGAAAGTTAGGTTCTTCATGACCGGTGCAGTTATTAGTTTATTTAGTATTTTATTGGTCTTGAGTTTTTGTAACACAGTTTTGTAATTGTTCCTATCATTGGTCTCACTATGATAAATTTATAGCAGAAAGTGCATATCCTAAACTTGGATCTCCAGAAAATTACTCCATATAATCTATCATTTTATCTTCTCTAGTTTCACACATTGGATTGATGCTGATGGCAACTATTGCCCTTGCTCTGTTGTCTTCTACTACTAGTCTTAAGACTTTGCAAGCAATGGATGCAAGGGGGATTTGTTGACCTAAAGCAATGGGTCGATTCTGTTTACATTTCTTTTAACCGATGTTTTTTTTTGGCTCAATTTTCTGTACTAGACACCGATGGGTTTGTGATCCCAAGCTTGGGAATTGAAGACCTAAATCAAAGCACAACAAATGCTCCACTAGTAGAAGACTCGAAACACACAATCAAAGTGAGTAGACAAGTTTGGTAGGGTCTGTTTGTGCTGTATGTTTTTATTTTGTATGTGGTCTTGCAGGATAAGAAGGAAGAGCATATATATCTTGGACCTCATGGAGCTCCTCCTTCACAAGCAAAACAGGATGTAAACTATTCTGGACGCAAACAGAGGTTCAAGCAGAAGTTGAAGGATGCAGATGAGAGAATCGGTGGGGGTGGGGGTGGGTCTGGAAGAGAAAACAAACTGGAAAATCTAAGAGATCTTGTGGGTGGTGGAAAGATGCCTGTTATCGCGTCCAAGAGTTCCAATAGGGATTGGCTAGACCCGCACTGTCACGAGTCTCAGTTTGAAAAGCGATACACATCATAGAAATTTGATTACTAAAAACCATAGGCATAGTGTCTTGAAAGATACAGGCCATCATATTCATGCCTTATTTAAAGCTTTTAAAACTTGTTGCTTCCTGTGTCACTTAAAGGCAATGTCTCCTTTCCTTTGGGTTGATTATATATATATATATATATATATATATATATATATATATATATATATATGTGTGTGTGATCGAGATTACGTCAATGCCTACCGTATTGGTATTGACGTTACCTGTCTTGGTGCTTGCTTGCAATCAACCGAATATAAGGCATAATCTTAGCATATAAGTGGTTTTTCTTGTAAACCGGATCGATATTTGATCCGAGTTAGCTAGGTGACCTAAACTATCCCATACCTTTTTTTATATTTGAAATAGAGGTGGTTCAAACAAAAATAACTAATTCTCTATAACCAAGTCACATAAGATTTGAGTTAGGTCATCTCCAATGGGAGTTTAATGATAGTTGTATAGTGGTGACATGACATTAATTAAGATTGTGAGAGAATGACATGGATAGTCGAGTAGTATCTCCATACAACTGTATCATTGGTATGAGGTTAGGCCGGAGGGAGTGGCTCGCTGGCCAAACTCGCCTCCACCACTCCCATTAAACTCGCTACCTGCCTCACTCACTAAGAATGGCTCGTTGGCCGGGCACCGAGAGGAAAGAAAAGGTTGTGATTGACTGACTTTATTTAGATGCTACCATTCTCTCCATCCTATGTGGCTTAAATGTGGCATAAAAAAAATCTTATGTGGCTTCAAAAAATCATTTGTGGTAGCATGTTAAAGATGTTACCACTTCCTCAGCGGTGACTGATGGGCCATTTTAGTTTTTTTTTTGTTAAATCAAATTACATTTGTTCCCTTTCTATATCTTAGGTGGCTTTTCATATAACTCTAATGTGTGTCGAGTGTTATGGATTGCCTAAGCTACGGTAAGATATGGGCGGCCCCTCCAACTAAGGGTAGGACATAAAAAGGAAAAATAATAACACAAGTACATATTAGATTATATTCTACAAATGAAACGTGCCTTTTCACAATGAAGAATAAACAAGCAAATTAAACAAACTAAACAATGACTTGGGTTAGGACATTATGTAACCTTGCTAAAGTTATAATCGGAATGTTAACAAAACTAACCATAATTTAAATTAACGTTAATGAAAATAACCCACAATATTCATGACCCGGTTAATGGTGGCCTCCCCTATTTAAAGAAAATCTGGAATGTGATAACCATTGTATTTCTGGAATAGCCTTTCCTACTCTTTGCAGTGGGAAAAATTGTTGAAGATATTGAGACCTTACGAGTATTTTCTTTCTTCTTTTACTTGTTTCTTCTATTGTTATGATGTTAGCTACTAAAAAATGTACTCCATAACGTATTAAACGACTCCAAAGTATGATGAACGAGTCAGGAACGTCCTATTTTTTCAAATCTGAATAATTAAAAGGCTATTGTGGGTCATTAGTTAGCCTTAGAAGTCTCCGAAAACTAGTAACATGGTGTTAGGATTACTTGTCCCTTCTATTAAACACACCTTCCGAAGTGGATTTCTTGTTTCCGGAATGTGAACAATCTGAAATACAAAAACAATCAAGAATGCAATAAACAGGTTGGAACGCAATGAACTATCCATAACATTGTACTCTAGAATGGTGTCACAGGACACCGATTATTGATGAAACTAACTTTGGTGGATATATTTTAGTACGACGAAGTGTACAATGCTTCTCTGATGTCATGCAAACCTAAATTTTATGCAATTATTCTTCGTAAGCTTCATCCTCTCCCGGCAGGAGGGGGCTCTTTTCCGACAGTCATGGTTTGATAGATGGTTGTATATTCTCAGGTGTTTCCTTTGGTTAAAATGAACGATTTTGTGAAGTTGTGACATGTAGACGAGGTATTTGAAAATTCCTTTGATAAGTTATTGGACGATGATGTGGTCCGAGTGTGTATGTTGTACATATTAGAAAAGGGGTTTAACCGTCGGTACCCTCACTAGCCAATCAAGGAGTTCTTTGCACTCGTATCCAATCTTTAGAAGTTCAACAGATACATCTGAAAATCATGTTTGGAATCCAAAATAATCAAGTCCGGAATCTGAAATTTGTTATTTGAATTATTAATGTATTGACTGTGATAATAGTTATATTTACAATTACAAAAACGAAACCTTTAAAAATAATAGTCTATTTTTTCATTAAGATAATTTAGATTAGTTATCCATTTTGAATGACATTAGGCCATATGGTATACACACCACTACAACGAATGCGATGGGGTGTCATATCGTTGTCACCTCATCACCACATAAACTTAGTATACCTACCACTGCACATCATTTTTCTTAAATTTAAACAATAAAAAGTTTATCATTGCTTCGTCAAAGGTTAAATGCTTTCTCATTGGTCATGATAGATCGTGATGGGACAACGATGGAGCACACCACAATGCACACGTGGTGGTGTGCATGATAGTGCAATGAAGGTGGTTTATTGTATGTATACCATTGACCCATTTGATCTATCAATTATTAGTCATATTGATGCACTTGTACATTTTATGTAAGTCGATCAAGATTCTCGTCTCAAAATCAGAAACCACATTTAAAAAGTAGGTTGGCAACCTGGCACCATTCTCTATAACTTACAAAGCACACAGCTTAAGCTTACAACATAAAGACATAAAAACTAAACTAAAGCAAAACTTAAAAAACTAAAAAATTGAGATCTTTAAGAAACAAAAGCTACTCCTGAATGTATGTTGGTCATTGCCTACTGAATGGTGTATGGCTGAGTGTACATGTTGTGAAATTCAGTGCTTAACAATGTGTATGGATTTTAGTGAAATATATTCATTCACAATCAAGAAATTCTAATCCTTTTGCAGAAGGTGTCAAGCCATGTTGAGAGAGGTACTCTGGGTTACAAAACTTGCTTAAATGCCTCATCCCACTATCGCACAAAATCGTTACAATCGTATGACCAGGACCCAACAATTTAGCCACTCTCACAGCTCCAACACAGTTCATTGCTGAAGAACTTCCAATAAATAGTCCATCATTCTTCAAAAGGAATCTGATGATAAAAGGAACAAACAAATAAGTACTTACAACTCACAAAAACAAAAACAAAATAATGTTGACAACTCTCAATCCTACCTTGACATTTCCACAGCCTCAATATCAGTACCCCTGAAAGCTCCATCAAGTTGAGCCATTTTGAAATTCTCAGTCAATCTGTTGATCCCTATTCCTTCAGTCACAGTATCAAATGGGTTCTTTAACCTCTTCCCTTCAGCCTCTTCTCTTGTATACATCACTCCTCTTGTAACTTTGTTAAACAAACCAGAACCAGGAGGATCCACAAGATAACACTTTATCCCTGGATCATTTTCCTTTAAAAAGCAAGAAACACCAGCCACAGTGCCACCTGTCCCTGCAGCTGCAACAAAAGCATGTAACTTGCCACCAGTCTGCTCCCATATCTCAGGCCCGGTTCCTTCATAATGCGCTCTGTAGTTTGCCAGGTTCTCAAATTGATCTGCAAAGAATCCACCTTTATATCCATTCACTGCTACCTTATTTGCTTCACATGCCCTTCTCCTTGCAATATTCACATAGTGATCTTTGTGAGTTATTGACACTGGCCTAACCCTTTCAACTGTTGCCCCAAGGGCCTCTAGTATTTTAGACTGAATAACTTCAAACAATTTCAGTAACATAATATAATCAACTTTCTTTTCTAGTTATGAAATTTTCACAAACCTACCTTCTCCATCGCAGCATCATCTGGGATAACTACATGACATTTGCATCCATAAGCAGGAGCAACTGTTGCAAGACTAATTGCAGTGCTTCCGGCACTTCCCTCTGTAACTACACCGCCTATGGATAGTTGTCCAGATTCTAAGGCCTGTGGATTATTTTCTTATTCATCAGCATATATTACTATAACCAAATTAAAGAAAGAGACATGTTATGTTAGAACCCCTAGAATTAATAGAGAAGATCGAGTTAACCTCTTCAATTATTTTAACAGCGACTCTGTCTTTAACACTTCCTCCAGGATTCAAAAACTCTGCTTTCGCAAGAATCTGATTAACATGGAATTACAAAGACATGATTACCATCGGCAAAAACCATAACACAAACTAATGTATGTAAAATGAAAAATGGAAGAGGTTACTTCACATCCAGTCGCATCGGAGAGGCTAGTAATCCGAATGAGAGGGGTGTTGCCAATCGCACCGACGATTCCATTTCTCTTAAGCTTGTTCTTGGTTAGGGTTTTGCCTCTCGAATGAGACGTAGCACGGCGTTTATTGGATATAACGTAGAGAGAACATAGGACAACTGAGACTACTCCTATAATTGCGATTGGTTTTGGCGATGGGGGCATCTCGCGGTGGTCGGAGCTTCAGAGAAGTAGACGGCACGGTGGAGTTGTGTAACCGGGTTACCGGGCGGCGGGTGTAAACTATTACCAAAAGAAGACTAGAGCCCAACCCAAACTGCTATATGTCTTAACGCTTAACACCCGCTCCCCAGTTGAAAGCAAAGAAAAGAAAGAGAAGAGAAAGAAAAGAAAAAGAAAGTAAGTAAAGAAAAGAAGAGAAAAGAAAAGAAAACAAATTTGTCTTTTGTGCTCCCGAGTTGGAGAGAAATGGAAGGAAAATTAAACATTTTATTCTTTCTTTTCAAATCCTCCCAAATCGAAAGGAAAGTTAGGAGGGAAAGTGATCCTTCCATTTCCTTTCACTTCCTTCCTTTAATTACTCGGGAGCATCAATCTCTCTTACTTTCCTCTCATTTCCACCCATTTCCTTTCTTTTTTCTCCTTAAGTTGAACTCGGGATCGGGGTGTAAGTCTTTAAGTCTTAATTTTGTCAATCAAATCTTTATAAGCGCAATTGTGTGTTGCAAATAAAATATGTACTTCCTTTATGAAATTCTATTAGGCGAATGTCAGCGAAATAATTATGTAATTAAATATGAATATCTAAATTATGGTAAAAATAAATAATTGATATAAGTTGTAAGTTGTTAACATTGTTTTTAACCATATGTTAAATTGGTAAGTGATAACTTTATAGCAAATATGATAATAAAATAATATAATTAACAAAATTATATTCCAATTGATATGTTCAATCTCTTGTTAATATTTTTTTATTTACACGTAATTTATATTAATAAAGAATACAAAATTATTATTGCATTAAGTGTGTTTAGCACGAAGCGTTTGAGAGCTTCTAGCTTCTAGCGTTTGACAAAAAGCTTCGTTTTAAACAGAAAGTCTCGTTTTGGTATTACAAGCTTCTAGTGTTTAGTTTAAACAAAAACGCCACAAATCCAAAGCAACTTCACGTAACGTTTAATAAAACACTACCATCTACAAACTACCCGCTACCAACTAGTTTTGTCGAACACGTCTTAAAAGTTTTAATGCAATGTTAGATACTCCATTCAATATTAGTATCTAGTTAGTATTAGCATCTCAATAATCTTATTGTAAGGTTACACCTTATGATCTGACGAGTCTAACATATGACACGTTGATCTATCAGCGTCAACATCTGCACATTGAAGCGCCAACATATCAAGTTTATCAGCGTCAGCTTACAGTTTAGTTATTCGATTGTAATTCTTTGTATATTAGTTAATGATATAGATAAGTATAAAATAGATCACAGATTCGGTATCTTTATGATAAAATCGGCTCTCAATATAGATTAGATACAATCCCGTCAATCGTGGGATATACATGTATAGATTAGTATATATACAACATAAGGGCAAACCCTAATGTTATGGTCGTGGTAGTTGTGATTGTGGCTTTGTGTCATCCGTCTTTGTGACAAACCCGTCTTCTTGGTGAAGACAAAACTTCTTTTCTTAGTGAAAGGAACAATTTGGAGAACTTATTTGTTATTTTCTCCCTGTTGATTATTTTGCTTAGATTAGTTTTACATTTTTCATTCATATTTGAAGTGTATCCGATCATCACAAACCTTCAATTGGTATCAGAGCAGGTTTGTGATACACTCAAGTAATCATGTCGGCCTCTTTCGTTCCTACGTCATCTATCTGTAACAAGATCCCTCAGTTTGACAAATACAACTTCTCTGATTGGAAATCAAAGGCCACGAAAGTTCTAGAGTTCATGGATTTCGATATGCTCGACGTCGTCAACAAAGGTCCTATAGCTGCTATGCATCAGTCATCCAATAATGGTGCATCTGGAAGTAAGCTGAAAGTGAAATTTGTTCCCTGTTATAACAAGGAAGAGAAAAGGATGTTGAATCTTGATGTAAAGGCTAGAATTGCTATTGGAAACTCACTTCCTTTTTATGTCTATCATTTGGTCCAAAACTGCTCCACTGATTAAGAGATGATGACCAATCTATCATCTGCTTTTGAAAAGGAAAACTCTTTAGACGATGAAGCTAAGTGTCTTATGGCTCAGGTTGTTGAATCTCACGCTGACACTTCACATGACAACGTTGGGATCCTTAACGCTAATTCTCCTCACACTGCTGATGACCTCAAGTTAGAACGGGACGATGCATCAGCGTATCAGGTAAAAATTCATATTAATCTTTCCTCTGTTGATAATATCGAAAAATATGACACGATCGATCTCTTACGTTTCAAGTTATTGATCTTGATGCGACATCGACCTCCGACGAGTCTTCTGGTTTTCTGTTGCGGCGGAGATCTGGACATCACAGTGCAAAGTCGTTAGAGCCACCCCAGGGACTGTGCCCCGGGAGCGGACTCCGACGGTCAAGTTAGATCAGCTAGAAGATCTGAGATGGTCCTCCATAGCTGGAGAGAACCATCTTGGTGCTAGTGGTGGTGTATGGTGGCTGACGGCGGCGGGTGGCGGCTGAGCCACCCGACCGGAGTATAGTGGCGGCTGAGCCAAAGGGAAGGATCCCCCTCTATGGAAGAGATACTATTCATTATATATGGGACAATTAGGTCAAAGGGAATTAGGTCAAGCCTTGGGCCAACCCAATTCAAGCCCAACTAGCAAAGAGCTGGGCAAGGCCGCCCGGAGGCGCCGGACAGGGCTGGCGAGCGCGCCCCAGGCAAGGCTGGCGGACGCGCACCAGGAAAGGCTAGCAAGGGGGCGCCAGGCAAGGGAACGCCAGGCCGGGCTGTCAGGGGAGCGCCAGACAGGGCTAGCAGGAGCGCGCCAGGCCAGGCTGGCGCTCTAGATCAGTCTAGGTCATGCTAATGAATCATATATCATCAAGTCCCCCCAGTCTGATGTTATTGGTACGCGGCCAATGGCATCGGACTGGAACTAGTCATATAAACTGTGCGTTGTCAGATCTCAAATAAAGAAAAATCTTCTTTCAGTCTTGAGCTAAAGATTCTCAAAGAAAAACTCATTTCTCTAGAAAAATCTCTTTCTGTTTTAAAAAAGGAAAACACTTGGTTCTCGCTTACTAATAATTTTCTTCACTTTGAAAAAGAAAAAATTGTTGATCATGCTAATTACACTCAACTTATTTTGAATTTCTGGGCATCCTCTCACTTTATGTCACAAGAATCATTAATGCTCGGATTCTAGACCAGTGTAAGAAAATTCTTGGAGGTGATATAGAAGGTATTGTTTCTTTAACCAAATTTGAAACTAAACAAACATTTTATAAAGCTGAATGCTTAAAAGAAGACTTTAAAAGTAGATTTGTGAGTTCTTACTTTATAAATCAAACCTTAATTAATACTCACTGCTCTTGATCCTTCTCTCCAATCTTCTCATCGTGAGTATGTTCCTCCCTTCACTAAGACTTTGCTAAAGTTTCCTATATGCAATGGTGGAGTTTATTCTATAAACGAAATTCTTAGCATGTTTCCTCAATGCTTAGTTAGCAATTATGAACCTGAATATCAATCAAAGCCTTCTACTCCTGATAACTCTTCAAAGGTTCATGAGTCTCATAACAATGTAGCATATGGGCATACCATTGATAAGATTCCTTGTTCCAAAAGCTAAATAAAAAACTCTTAAATCAAATAAACAAAGTTCTTCAGATTCAGCAGTTGAAAAGAAATCAAAATCTAATGTTAAAGGAAAACATCTTGGAATTAAATTTTGTTATCGATGTGGTGATGCCTCTCACAAAGTCAGCGAATGCACTTTTGAAAAGAACACCGTTCGCGCTGATAATATCATGACTCGAAATGATAAGTGGATCAAAAAGGAAAACTCGTTGAACTGTCTCCCTAATGAGTGTTATAACATCTTTTCTTAGTGATCCTTTGCAAGTGGGTCGGTGTATATTTAATGTATTTTTTTTGGACTTACTGTACATCTTAGTTTCAGGGTAAAGAGCATATTTGGTATTTAGACAGCCGCTGCGCAAGACATATGATAGGATTCAAGTCTCTCCTGGAAGATTTCATAAAGAAGGATGGTCCGTCAGTCACATATGGAGATAATGGCAAGGGAGCTACAAAGGGATATGGATCCATCAAGTGCAATTCTGTTATTTTCAAGAATGTCTCTTATGTGAAAGGTCTTCAGCATAATCTCATTTCTATCAGTCAACTGTGTGACGCTGGCTATGAAGTTCTCTTTAACAAGAAAGAAGGAAAAGTTGTTGATCAAAAGAACATCACTGTTCTTACTGCAAATCGACAAAATGACATCTATGTTCTAGATATGTTTTCTGCTAACAAGTCACTTCGTCGTTGCTTCTTCTCTCGTGCTCATTCTCATCTAAATTGGTTGTGGCACAAAAGGCTATCGCATCTGAACTTCAAGAACATCTCGAGGATTGCAGGGAATCAGCTTGTGAGAGGAATTCCTAAGATGCAATTTGTCAATGACAAATTGTGCTCAACGTGTGAAAAAGGGAAGAAAACCAAGTCTTCGTTCAAGCCAAAGTCATGTTCTTCAATCATCAAACCTCTTCATCTCCTTAATATGGACCTTTTTGGACCAGTTCTGATCAAGTCAAAAGCCGGGAAGAAATATACTCTTGTCATTGTAGATGGATTTTCAAGGTTTACGTGGATAGTCTTTTTAAGAAAGAAGAGTTATGCCGCTGATGAAATCATTGCTCTCATTAAGCAATGAGAAGTCTTCTATGATCACAAAGTAAAACAATTATGTAGTGATAATGGAACTGAATTCAAAAACTCTTATCTGGAAGATTTTTGCTTAGTCTCAGGAATCTCTCAGAACTTTTCAACAATTAGAACTCCCCAACATTTTGACAATGATTTTGTACGCGTTGACTATGATTCCGTACATTTTATTTACTGATATTTTATCTAACATTTAGAAATTAACATTAGCTCTTTTATCAATAATCCTTTTATCATTAATCAAGTTCACTAACTAAACCCTCAAATTTTGAAAGCTTATCGCTTTATACAAAATTTAGATAGGAAAAATAAAAATAAAAATTAGCAACAATATTGTAATTTTAACGGGTTCTAGTTAAATTGGTAATAATTTAACCAAATCAAAAATACAAGTAAGAAATTAGTAAATACCATCTACAACACAACACTAACGTGAATTGGCGTCCTCATGTACGTACGTCGTACGGTTACAATTTATTACACGGATGTTTGCGTAAGTAGAAATTCTGAGGCATACCACGACGACTGTGAAAGCAGAACATCTGAAGCCGTCAGCGTACCAGTTTTATCAAAGTCGAGTCTTTCAAACTCTTCCATGATAGGTGCCATGTCTTCTTGGCTGATTTTCCCCATCTCTTTTAGCTTATAAAGGATGAATTCAGCAGCCCTATATATATAAAAAAAAACATAAATTAATTAATTAATTTTTTAACACATATGTAGGATTGGATGTTTCATAGCTAGCTACTTACACTACAACACCATCGTCATCAAGATCAGCTGCCTCCAAGTCTGCAGGCGTGGTCTTTCTCTTAAGAGCCCATTTCACTAATGACCTCTGTCTTCTTTGAGTGTGTAGCATAGCAAAAGTAAACAGCAACTGACCCAAGTAAATAGTACCAGACAGAATCCAAAATAGCGCGAAAACACGCCCTCCTTTTGTTGAGAAGCATTTATCGATGTAACCTAAGCTTGTAATTGTGGCAACCACACAATAAAAAGCATGAATAAAGTCCAAATCTTCAACAGCAACCAACACGGTTGTCCCGGCAGCCATAAGAACCACAAGCAAGGCCACTAGTATTATACACTTGTTCCTAAGTTTGTTGGTTTCCATTTGTTTTAGGGTTTCAGCAGTGCCAAGGGTTTGATTCAAGTGTAACGCTCTTGCTAGCAGTAGCTCCTGTTTCTCGACTAGAAAATCTGCAGCTTTGCTGAGGACTAGCCCGATGAGAAGCATTCCCAAGACGACGAAAAGACAGGCTAGTAGTGTTGTGAGAGTGCTACCAGGGAAAAGGTCTCCATACCCAACAGAAGTCATTGTGACAACTGTGAAATACAGAGCATCGAGGACTGCGTTTGTTTTCCTTCCATTAATTTGGTGTCTAACCAGATAGAAGCAAAGCGTGCCTGCACCCAAGTAAATAGACAAGATGATGGCTACTTTTCGGTAGCTTGGGTGGAGGTAATTAAATACAGACTTAGGCCGTGCAAAAGAGGAATCGGCAGTTTTGGATTGTGAAGGAAACGAATCTGCTATTGGGGCACTTTTAATGCGTCTGAATCTTTTTCTTTTGATGGAAGCTATTTGGTCTTTTGGTATTGGTTGCTTTCCACCCTTAGATGCCATCACAATTCACAAATCGCATGCAATGCACCACTTTTCTTCAGTCCTAAGAAGCAATATTTCAAACATTAATAATGCCAACGATACTTGATGCAATTCTTGTGTCACTTATAGTAGACTAACAGATATCCAAACCATTTAGATTAGGGGACTTATTATTATCAAAGTAGTAGCTTAGAATTTGAAGAAATATGGAAGCCGATGCAGGAAAGTGAATCGGATGTATGGATCTTACAGTACAAGCATGGAGTAAGCAGGAAGCTACATAACACTTTCGGCCAGTTAAAACCGCCTTCAACTTTTCAAAACTAACTTTCCGTTTTCAAGTTCTATCTTTGCATGCTGTAATATAGATTTTGCTATTTCGTTGTTTTTTACTAGACTTCAAACTTAATTGTACATTTTCCATTAAACTAACAATTACGATCGATCAAAAACAAAAATCAGAGACTCGAATTCAACAGATCTCAACAGTCGCTAACAAATAAACAAATGCTAATACAATAATGCTCTGAGAAACAGTTAAAGTAAACTAGCTACCTTCGTGAATCGTAGGGTTCCTTTCCGTAACTTGTTAGCAGCAGCAGCAGTCATCCATGGTTTCTAATTGCAGTCAGTTGTAAATTGAACACGAAGTGGAAGTCCATTGTAGTAATATTATAGCAAGCTTCGAAAATGTCAGGAAGTCGCCGCACCTGTATTTTAAGAGAAAGAAACACCGACTTGCTTTCGTTTACTGAATCTCAACCGTCGGATTCACGTAGTGGTGTCGGAGATCCCGTCGGCAGGACGATTAATGTTTCCACATTCAGCAATTTTTTAATTTTTAACTATATTATTGCAGTCAACTCCCACCGGTAATTGAATAGATTGAGTGCAAGCATCAAGATCGCCAATAAATGCATTGTGGATCCATTATCCCATTCATTCAAACGATATAAAGTCATACACCAGTATATTATTAAAGATTCTTAACTTTGTATTTTAAAGAGGGTTAATCGACTATTCAAAAAAATTGTTTGAGTTCATGCAATTTATCCAAGAAAATGGTATATATATATATATATATATATATATATATATATATATATATATATATATATATATATATATATATATATATATATATATATATATATATATATATATATATATATGGACAATATTAGAGTCGGTTGGCTTATTTTTTTCAAATAAAACTAAAATCTAAGCCTAATGGTTTTAATAATTAAGATATCAAACTTTATATTATTATTATGATTGCTTGTTATGACCATAAGCTCGAACTTGTATAATTAATCTATTCGTTGAATATGCGATTTACTTAAGAAAACAACGATTTTGTTAAAGCCGATTCCAGAAAAATGGAATATCATAATTAAAGAAGAAAATGATTTGCTCATATTGTTCTATCGTCTAACATTCATGTCTTTAAGGTAATAAATTTTGAGGATTTTAGCCTTTTGGAAGTGGGTCACGACGTGAGCTATGCCCAATCACGTCATGAATCAGCGTTGACCCGTTGACTTGCGTTTCTCGAGTCTCACGGCGTGAGCCATTGTTGGTCACGATGTTAGAACTGTCTGATGGTTAAAACCCTAATGTTTTTGGGTATTTAATGGAATGAGGGGGCTAATGTAACGTCCAAAATTTAAGACCAAAGATTTCATTTTTATAATAAATAAACCATTATCCAAAACGTTTCATAAAAACCATAATGAAATCAGAGTATATCAACAATCATCCATTTAATCGGAGTCAAATAAAATGTGGAACAATGTGGTGTGTGCGACGCGATCATCCCGAGCTCTTCCCCTTCGATTCGGAAGTACCTGATACATAAATTGAAAACCGTAAGCATGAAGCTTACCGAGTTCCCCAAAATACCTCATACCATACATAACAAACATATAATGGGCCATGCCTAACAACCATCGGGCCCCGCCCGACATCGAGCCCCGCTCGAAACAGATCTATCGATAATATGAGATGGACTCCGCCTCATCACATTCATATTGCCCCGCCTGGTATACATATAGACACATAAACACATGCAATAATCACTAAGATAAATAGTATACAATACACTCATCAGGCCCCGCCTGGCGTCGGGTCTCGTACGGTATACATATCACATACATCACATGCAAGAGTCACACAGACAACTAGCATCCTAACCATAATAAGTCATAGGTCGACATTGGTGCCTTCAACCCGCCAAGCACAATGAGAAAACTCATCTCAAGCTGCTGAATATCTCGGATAAAAGTTCGGACTGTTGATCATGAAAATCCCCGTGCTAACCAATCAAATAAACCAAATTAATAAGTTGGGTCATAAACCAAAACTATGAATCTCATTCAATTGTCCAACTCCTAGGGTAAAATACCATTTTACCCTTTCGAAATCAGTTTAACTGGATTTCGAGAAGCTTCATGTTTCAGGAACTATAGGCATTAAATGGATCAAGTTAGGGTCGTGGACTTCAAAGGGCTTGGGTTTTAGACCCAATTGGGTGTGGATTATATAGGTTGTGTGATCCAAGCTTTTGATTTGTGCTTTCGAGTCCAATGGGTATAATGGTAAAAGTGATGTTTCAGACCTTTTCTTGAATTAAGGATTCTAGTTCGGAATGTTTAAAGTCAAAGGAGATTAGGTGGGATTGTAGGGCTTTCATTACCTTTTCAAACATATAATGATGTAACGCCCCAATTCTGGTATGTTATTTAAATGTTTATTTTTTTCGAGTTTTCAAGAGGGACTCGACGAGTCAGTAGCCCGACTCGTAGAGTAGAGACGGGATTTCGAGCACGTGTAAGTAGGCGACTCGACGAGTCTATATTCGGGACTCGGCGAGTCCGCCAGTCTGGCAGAAACCCTAATTTCAAGGGTTTTGCACCCTATTTAAACCCTCTTATGAGCCCCAAACTCGCCCCCTTCACCCTTAGAACGTCATTTAGCAAACCCTAGCCATTATTTGAGCATTTTGAGCATATCTTGTGTATCTTTTGAAGTTTGGAGAAAGAAAGAAGGAATGACTAAAGGGGAAGGAGAAGAGCAAGGATCTAGAGCCCAATCCAGAGTTTATTGAGGTATAATTCGAATCTCTTCTGTTTCTATGTTGATCTTCCATTAGAAATCCCATTTAGGCCATTTTTATCCACTTCCTAGATTGATTATAGTGGAGAGATCATATTGAGTTGAATAGCCATTGGATCTAGCTAGGTTTGAGCTTCAAAAGCTCAGATCTACCACCTTTATGAGCCTAATTCGTGTATAAGCCCTAGATCTACTCTTTTAGTCCTTGCTAAGCCTTTTAATTCCTTTTTATGCATATGTACACGTAAAGTTGGAAACTTTACGTGATAATCAAGCCTTAGGAACCCAGATCTATAAGTTGTGTGCAATGGTTTTGAGCAGAATCAGTTATATAAGATTTGCATGCAACTGACTCGGCGAGTCGTTCTTCGGACTCGGCGAGTCGAGTCGCGAGTCCCCGATGTTTTCCCCTTCGTGAGTTATGCCGAGTGGAACCATTAAGTTATAGGTGGACTCAGTGAGTCGGAGATCAAACTCATTCATGGAGGGACTCGGCGAGTCAATGCCCTGACTCGGCGAGTCCAAGGCAATCTTCATACCTCAAGAACAGACTCGGCGAGTTGTTCATACAACTCGGCGAGTCACAGCCAGAGTGTTCATGTGATGAAGGAGAACTCGACGAGTTGTTCATACAACTCGGCGAGTCAGATGCAGATTGACTGAGTGTTAGTATCGAAGAGGAACTCGTCGAGTCTATGCCAAACTCGACGAGTAGTAGCGGGCAGGAATGAGAAATGAGAGTAGGAACTCGACGAGTTGGCGGCCCAACTCGACGAGTCGGGTCAACTATATGTTGACTTTAACCATGGGTAAAATATTCATGTTACCCTCAGTATAGTAATCAGTATTTTGATTGAGTGTATTTATGGGAAATTGTAGCCGGGGAGATACCGGAGCAGCAGCAGATAGTTTCCCGAGCAGTTTGTTCAGCAACCAGATTACGAGGTGAGTTTCCGTCCAATAGGAACGGGTCTAAGGCCACAATGCCGGCCCGTTTAGTTATTAGTAGTTTCCGGACTTCGGTCTGATGCAATAGTAGTATGTTTGATGCCTTCGTGGCTCAGACAGGGTTTGTGTGCTATGTGTTCCGGGCCACGGCCCGATGCAGTATGCGGTATATGTTGATATGTTAGTTGATATGTTTATGCTATGCCATGTTTAGTAGTTCCGGACTTCGGTCCGATGCAGGGGACAAGGTCCCAAATAGTTCCGGACTTCGGTCCGATGCAGTTAGTTCCGGACTTCGGACCGATGCAGGGGACAAGGTCCCAGATAGTTCCGTACTTCGGTCCGATGCAGTTAGTTCCGGACTTCGGTCCGATGCAGTTTCCGGACTTCGGTCTGATGCAGAGGGCAAGCCCCAGGTTAGTTCCGGACTTCGGTCCGATGCAGTTTCCGGACTTCGGTCCGATGCAGTGGGCAAGGCCCAGTAGTTGTTATATGGTCGTATGGTATGTGGTAGTTTGGGGGAGCTCACTAAGCTTTGTGCTTACAGTTTCAGTTTTGGTTTCCGGTACTTCCGCAAGTAAAGGGAAGGGCTCGGGATGATGGCATCGCACACACCACAGCTTCAGTTTTTGTCCTGGGAGTTGGATCAGATACTCTGTTTTGATTTGATACAGTTTGATACAGTTTTGAAACAGTTTTATCATGACACTTTATTATGATTTTTCAGATATTGACGTATGGTTTTCTTTTAGTTATATCATTCTAAGTTATGGTTTTATCATTATTAAACAAAAATTTTTGGGTCGTATTTTGGGATGTTACAAGTTGGTATCAGAGCCTTGGTTTGAGGGATTCAGATACACTTTCGGGTGTGTCTGAACTCAAACTAAGGAAACAGTAAAAGATTTTCAAAAGAAAAACATTTTCGAAAAGGATTTTTGAAAAAGAACTTAGAAAGAAAAAGAGTTTTGATAAAGAGAAAAAGGTGTGGTGCATGCGATCAGCCGAGCTCAAGTAAGTACTCCCAAATTACCCATACAAGTTTATATTATGATTATCTGTATCAGTTTCAGTAGAACAGCATGCTAGAATAGGACTAAGGATCTAGGAGGATGCCTTATGTGCCTGCTATATGTGTTTCAGCTTTATGAAAATTGCATGCTAGTACTGAGTAGACAGCAGTAGGATAGCCTGTTTAGGTTATGCCTGATAGTATGAGCTTAGCATTGTATGCTAGTACAGTTTCTCGTTATGAGGATAGAATTGATTGAGTAGTTTCCTGTGTCCGAATGTTGCTTGCTTTGTGCTTTGTGGGACTCCGAGTGATGGGAGTTAGCCATTAGGTGAATACGTTACATCACATGTGATCAGGATTGAATAATCTCAGAGTGCTGGATTTGGCCCTACTGCGCAGCTCTTGTTTGAGTCTAACCGTTGTAGGAACGAGTCTTTTACTCGAAGGATTATCTGAGCCTCGTCACATGTGATGGTATTCAGGTAATGTCTAATTGGCATTACAAGGAGGCTTTCAGCAGCTGAGGACTGGTTTGGGTGGAGTCAGATATTTCCCTAGGGCAAGCCTAGGATGAGAGTAGCAGAAGTCAGTAGCAGTAGAGTGACTTGGTGGAGTCAAGGCAGTTCTT